TAGTTGACAAGGAAAGTAACCCAAAAGTTAAGGGTCATAGTATAATTTGCATTTAGATTAAACTTTGTGGTCTGTCTGTCTGCAGAATTAGAGATACAGTACTTCATAATATAGCCAAAAGCCACAGGAGTGGAGAAGATAGAACTAGTCAGTTCTGAAATGGGAATTAAGCTCACCCTTAAAATAAACTTCTCTAATCTAGTGTAAAGGTAAGGTAAAGGAGTCCCTGCAGATTTTATTCCACTAGTTATTGCCAACTATGAGGGGGGGTCATCTTCATTTCAAGGCCATTGAGCCAGCGCTCTCCGTCATGTGGCCAGCATGACGTCACAGAGCATTGTTACCTTCCCACCAAAGGGGTACCTATTTAACTACTCGTATTTACAGGCGTTTGAACTGCTAGGTTGGCAGGAGCTGGGGGAGGTGTGTGTGAGGATGGGAGTTCAGCCCGTTGCATAGCATTTGGGTCTTGAACCTGGGCTGCCAGCTTTCCAGTTGACTTCTTAACTGCTGAGCCACCATGCAAACTCCTTAATCCAGTGTGCTGGGCTACAATTTGGGAGATGAAGGAAATTAGAATCCATCATATTTTTAGGGTCTGAACTTGGAAAGCTTATCTAAAAATCAAAGATTGCCAACTTCTTCAGGCTTCCCACAGCATACAGTGACTAGCATTTGTGTCCCTCGAAGACATTTCCTGGCCCACATGGATCATTCCTAAAGCCATTCAATCAAATAACTCAGCCCCTTTTTGTTGAGAAATACCAAAAGCCTGGATGATCCCAGATGCCAAGACATGAGTTGAGAACTTTCACCGGGGTGTTCTATCCCAGCCTATTGCCGTCCTTGTTAGAGGCACAAGGACCAAACCCCTGCTGATACAATAGGCTGGAGACTTTAAAACAAAACAAAATCCCTTTTATTTGGGTGACAAACCTGTCAATAAGTCCAAAACACAAACAGCAAAACTCAAGTCCAAAGGAAGGAAATAGTCCACAGGAACACGTTGCAAACAA